AAAAATATGGCCTTTGATGGAAAGTTTTTATAAGTGATTCTCAAACTGAATCAGGTTGCAGAGCTTGCCACATGTGAGAATTGGAACATCATTAGTTTGTAACTTACTCCAGTGATGTTAGTTAGGTACCAGTTCACTATCAGAAAGTATGAGTGTGATCCAAGTTCGTATTTCTGCATGCCAGCATAAAGGGGCATACAGTTTGTAAGCAGTTGCACTTCCACTTTGTTGTTGTTGTTTGGTGCTGCTGAGTCAAGTACAACTCCTGGTGACCTTACGAACAACATCTGTGTCCTGTCCTCCTCCTCCTCCTTTTCATCATCCTCTCTGACATACTTGAGTCCATTGCTGCAGACACTCTGTCAGTCTGTCTCATTGAGGGTCTTTCTGTCTTTTGCTGACTCTCACCTTCCCAAGCATGATGTCCCTCTCCAAGGAACAGCCTCTCCTAGCATCATGCGCAGTTTATGTGAGATGAAGCTTTGCCATCTGTGGCTGCAAGGACCCTGGTAACTCTTCCTCCAAGACCGTCATGGGGTTGTACAATTTGATGGGTGGGAGGTGAGGGAAATTGGAAGAATCTGTTCTGTAAAACAAGGTGTTTGAATTTTGTAAATAAACTAGTGTAATAAAAAAGTTTTTGAAAAAAGAGACATGTCTGTTCTTTTGGCAGTCCACGGGATAGTCAGTACTATTCTCGTACACCACAACTCAAAGGCATCAGTTCTCCTTCTGTCATCCTTATTCATTGTCAAATTCTCTGACACACAGCAAGTGGTAGAAAAGGCCATAGCCAGAATCAGGCACACCTTAGTCTTCAAACTGACATCATTGCTCTGGAGTAATTTGGAGAGAATCCTGACAGCTGACTTATCCAGTGCAATATGTCTCCTAGTCTCCTGCCTGCTGGTTTCAAGAATGTTGACTGTGGCCCCAAGTAAAATGAAATCATTGACAGTTTCAATCTTATTATTTTTTTAATTGCATCTGCCTGTATGCACTGGGAGGAGTCCTAGTAGTGCAGTGGCTTGAGTTTTGGACAGCCTCTGTGCAGGAGAAAGACAAAGCAGCCTGTTCCCTTGGAGATCAGAGCCTTGGTGTTCTGCTCTGCTCTGTAGGATCCCCATGAATTAGAGTGTTCTTGACAGCACTGGGCTTGGCTTTGTGTGTTTTGGTGGAGGTTTTGGTAACATGCACTGAGAGACAAGAAATGAACTCTGTGGCACAGTGCATTATGTTGTCAGGCTGCTAAGTGAAAAGTCAGCAGCTTGGATTCATCAGCTGCTCCGTAGGAGAACAGTGAGCCATTTCCTGCCATAAATTCAGGTACTCATGGAGGGTCACTCGCCGTGAGTCACAGTCTGCTTGATGAAGGTGGGTTTGGACTGCCTTTAGAACACAAGAGCAGTAAAACGTCAAGGTTTGTTTACAGTAGGGAAAGCGTAAGATTCAACCTATTCTATCCATTAACTGAATTTCCTTCTTTTTAGGAAAAGAACACCTGTATTCTATTTTAGTAGTCTACGTCAAAGAAGAGTGGTGATCCAGAGGAGCTCCTAGAGAGATCTGGTATGCAGCAAGCTGACCATTTAACAAATAACTGGGCTTACTGACTCAGAGGTGACCATTGATGTATTCTCCGTAGTCCCCAATTCAGTGAGTAACAAACCCAAACGAAACCCATTGTCATCGAGTGGAGTCAAACTCCTAGAGACCTTACATTCAGGTGTATCTGGAGGCTCTGCTGAAGTGTGCTGGGTGACACTCCAGCCCTGATAACAGGGGACTGTCCATGAGATCTAGTGGCTAGAAATCACACTCAGGTGTCCTCCATCGAAATCAAGGATTCTACCACTGAAGCCCCAAACACACTGCCATCAAGTTGATTCCAACTCTTGGGTCCCTGCAGGATAGAGTAGGACTGGTCCGCTGGGTTTCTGAATCTGGAAAGCCTCGCAGGAGCAGGCTGCCACAGCTTTCTCCCCTGGAGTGGCTAGTGGGTTCAGACTACTGCCTCTTTACAGCCAGATGTCTTCCCCATAGTGCCAACAGAACACCTACCTTAAAGTCTGCAGTGAAATCTCAAAATACGAATGAAATAGCCTGATTTGCACATCAGCCTGGTCCTGTGTCATGCTCCTCTTGCCAGAGAAACCACACTTCTCCAGTCACCTATCAGATCCCTTCCAATTTTATTAATTTCATTTGGTGTTTGAAGATACCTGACCTGTCCATACTTTGTTCACTCTCATCAAAATGCTACTTTAATCCAGTTTTATAAAAAGTAGCTTTAAAGCCTATGTTAAAAGAAAGCTGAGAGAGTAATTAAACTGTTAATAATTTAAGAAGTACAAATCTTTGCTTCAGCAGAAAATTTAAAATTTAGGTTACTGGCAGGAGCCAAGCCTGAGGGAGAGAAGTAAGGTCAGTGACCCAGTGCCATCTGTCTTACCATGAGCAAAGACTTCTAGGAGTCACTGACTGTCCACACCAGAGCCAGACACTGTGGCCATCCTGTAAAATAAGCTTGGTGGGAGAGTGGGTCTCCCCAGCTGAGGGGACCCAGGAGGAGCCCCTGTCTGTGGAAAGGTCCTATATAGTCCTTTTTATAGGTGAGTAAACAGACTTGTAATTAGCTTGCCCAGGGTCACATAACCAGTAAATAGAGGACACATGATTAGTTCTTTCAACAATCAAAAGCGTGTTGGGTGTTTAGTCACCATCTGTTGGAAGGTTGTCCAGTGGGAGTTTTGACGCTTTTGCTTCTAGAAGCTGAAGTCTTTCCACCTCTTTCCACTGTCTAAACTCCAGGCTGGCTCCCTCATAATCCAGAAATGTTCCTAACAGTACAGAAATTACTTTAACCATCTCCTAGGGCCGTAGTATACATCTTCTTTGTGCCCACAAAGACCAAAGTGGTGCCTTGTCTCCTTAGTCTAAGACAAATTCCTTTTGATTGGACCAGTTTGGCTCACAAGCCGACCTGGAATCCAGTCTGTTTTGTTGCTGTTGATACAAAATTCACCATTATGACAGTTTTAAAATGTGTGATCCAGTGGGTTTGTTTTTCATAATTACAGCATTGTATAACCATTGTCATTAATGTGCTGCTGACTGTGACTCATAGAGACCCTATGAACGTTGGATATGACCCCTGCCCTATCCTTGAGCCCATTGTTATAGTCACTGTATCAGTCCATCTTATTGAGGGTCTGGAGTGTCAGAACCCTTGAAAATTGGTTTTTGTAGCCATTGTGTTAGCTTTTGGTGGGGCATGGTGTCCAGCTGTCTTAACTGTGGACACATGATCTTGCCAATCATCAACAGCTGTGAGACCAGTATATGAGAGTGCTTTCCACACTGAAAAAAGGTGACAGTGGTGGGTGGAGAGACTGTGCAAAGACCCTGCTGTGAAGAGACTGTGTCAAGGTTTAGGTCTCAGTTAAAGGTTTTGCTTCCTGGATATTTGAAGGAAAGTTGATTTGTAATTGCTCTGAGATAAAATTTGATGGACAATTGAGGAAACCAGGGGCTTCTTGCTTTTGTACTGCTGAACTGAACCTAGACATTCACTGGTTGACAGAGAAACTGTCTTTCACTAATTGAGAAATTGTGTCTAGCTGTTAATCTGCTTTGGGGTTGTTCGACTAAACATAGTTTTGTATTATGAGATATTATTTGCCTCCCCCACGTTCCTACCTATTTCCTTGATAAACCCCACAACTGTGAATAAAATCTCTTAAGTCTTGCAGAGACTCTTTTATCCAGTCAATCATAGGGATCAGTGCAGGAACATGTGGGGTGGCTTGTCTGACCAAGCAGTTCTCTGGGGCTATGGATATTATCACTGGGGACAGTTCCCCTTTATGAAGTGGGTAGAAATCAAACTCTGCCATCCCCACATTGTGTCTTCCCCTTTTGCAGGGTCATTACCACATCTAATTGCAGAAATTTCGTATTCCCTGAAAACCACTAATCTACTTTTGCTCTCTATGGATCGGACTGCTGTGCATATTTCATGAGGATGGAATCATGTAATACCGGCTTTTTTCACTTGGCATAGTTTTCAGAGATTCATCATGTTGTAGCATGTGTCAATAATTTATTCCTTTTCATTGCTGAGTAATACTCCATCAGCTACACTTCATTTCATTAAGTCATTCCTCAGCTGATAGACATTTGAGACTGTCACATTTTGGCTATTGTGAATAGTACTGCTAGGTATATACAAATTCATACACAAATTGTTGTGTGGACTTATGCTTTAGGTCCTTTTGGGTAAACACCCCAGAGGAATTATTGGGTCATATGGTAATTTAATGTTACACATTTTATTCTCATAAGCAGCTGTACCATTTTACATTCTTACCAGCAATATGAGAACTCCAACTTCTCCACATCCTCACTAACACTTGTAATTTCCCTTTTTAGTAAACCAGTGCTTCTTTTAGAGGGTGGAGTGACTTGTAGAGACAGAGGTTTGGGAAAAGGAGTACACTTAGTGACTTAAACTTACCACATGCTGTACTCCCTTCCTCAGAAGTTTAAGGGTCCCTGAAGCAGATACTAAGCGTTGTTGGGAAGAGGAATGAGAAGGCGGCCAGGGGGGTAGGAGCACATAGTATGACTGGGACAGTTTTGGAGTAGAGTATGGGGATGCTTCAACCTCCATTATGTAGTCTGCTCTGTACTTCTGACCTGGGATAGTAGCTCTGCTGACATCTTCCTGTCTTCTTCACTCCCAGTTTTGAGCTGAAATGAAATCCATTCATTGTTAATCGCAGTTAGCCTTACCTTGGATAATGTCGATGGTAGTTATGGATGGCTAATGGATACTTTGCTCCTAGTCTAGTCCTAAATGTGTCTTGACGCTATTTCACCTGAATTATGAGATTGCTTTTCCAACAACAACAACAAGAAAATCACGTTAAGAACTAAACTGTCTACATTTCAAACTGCAGGCAGAAGATGTTAGAGAAGTTTACAGAACCATCCCAGCAATGGATCTTGGTGGGAAAAGTGAGGCTGATTTAGAAAATAATGAAGAGCCAGGCACAAAAGAGACTGCTGTGACCCCCCCTTGTCCGGATGAAAGCAGCGAAAGGAATCCTGTTTGCTCTCTCCTCAGCATCAGCGACCTCACGCTTCAGCAGGATGAGAAAGTCGACTTTGTTATCGGAACTGGATGGGAAGAAGCTGTGAGTACCTTCTGGTCTTAGCTCTCTTGAACACCAGCGTTTTGATGCAAATTTGTTTTCAAAAGCAGAGTTACTGTCACCAAAAAAATAGCGACCCCAGTGTGAACATGTAGCCCTGGTAACGCCAGGTTACTCACGCCGCTGCTCACAGTCCCTTCTTGGACTCATTAGTCGATAGCTAGACAGTGCTCAGTGCTTCACACACGTAGCGAACGCGTCCTCGTGGAGGCCTGTGAAGCAGAGCCAACAGCCTCACCTTTCAGCCGCAGAAGTTGAAGCACCCAAAAGGTGAAAAAAACCTGCCTGATGTCACAACCAGTAAGTGGCTGAAACAGGCTTGCAGCTGGGTCTTCTGAATCCCAGAGTCCAAACTCCTTAGCTCTTCACTCCCAAGAGACCTGTACTCTCTGTCCTAATGGTTCCGTTCAGAACACTGTGATTGTTCTTAGAGTCAAGCATAAGAATCCACATTCTAGAACTGCAAGGAGTCTGGTCGGCTCTGGTGCTTCACAAATGCTATTTGGCCGTATCTTGAAGCCACTTTTGGAGTCACTTCTGAGGGGCTGCCCCTGACATCTGGTAAAAGCAAAGTGTATGAGTGTGTTGGAGTCTATCTAGAACATCAGTGAGGCCTTCTGAGGTGAGCAAGCTCTGGAAATAAACATAAACCAGGTTCACGCTGAGATCTGCCACTTAGTAATTAGAGAATCTGTGGATTCATTTCTCTCAGCAGTAGTTTCCTCATCTATAAACTCTGGATGAGAAAGGAAGACCCCCAACACACAGTCTGTGCTGCTGCACCGAGTTCCTGTAGGACACGGTAGAAATGCCCTGCCACATTTCCAAGCTGTAAGCCCTTATGGAAGCAGACTGCAGCATCCTTCACTCCAGGAGTGGCTGCTGGATTTGAACTGCAGCCCTTCCTGTTGGCAGTTCAGCATTGAACCTGCTGTCCTACTAGCTTGGGAAACTGTGTTGCCCTTCTGCTCTGTCTTGTTGGGTCTTTACCCCTGAGTCAGAATCTACTCATTTTGATGCAACAGCAAGTTTGCAGAGCACAGCTGGAGACTGACACACTGCTTTTCTTGCAGGTCCAAGGCTGGGGCAGCACTTCTCCTATGGCCTGCATATGGCCCAGGAAGAAAGTGAAGAAGGCGAGAGTGGGGGAAAACACCAGCACCTGCCTAGTGTGTGTCAACATCATGCTGGCCACTGCTGAGTCCAGGCCCCAGGCCGAGCCTGGGAAACCTGAGTCACGGGCTGCAGCTGGACCTGGGCCTGCTGAGGCTGGACCTGGAGCGGGGAAGGATCTGAGCAGCCCCTCCCAAGGTCCCTGCTCCCCGCAGGGCCACAGTGCAGCCTGTAGGGAGATCAGCAAACCCTGCTTCCCCCACCAGAGTCACAGCGAGAAGAAAAGTCTGCAGATAAAGGAGTATATCTGGTGCACAGATAACTTGACTGCCCCCAACACTCTTAAGGGCAAGGACCCCAGAGACCAAGAGCATTTTGGTGCAAGTGTAGACAGGAGTGTGTCTGTCGCGGGCTCCTTGACCTCCAAGGCTCTCTTAGTTCTGCCCCCACTGAGGGCTTCACTCCCAAACAGCTTGGATACTCTGGGTAAGAAGAATAAGAATGTTTTCTTGCAGCAGGAAGGAAAGGGGCTGAGTGAGGAACAGGGTAAAGGTGTGGCTTGTCCATGTGAATTGAAAAATGGGGATGAGAAATGTGAAAGGAGATCCGCTGAGCTGGCCAAGCACCCCAGAGTCAAGCACTTGGCGCCTGTCCCTGCCTCAGTGCCCCGGCCCGCTCTCCTGGCCCACACTGGGCCATGCTACCTGCGCTGGGCCCTGCTGCCCGAGCGAAACCTGCTGTGCCCTCCCACACCTGCCAACTTGAGCTACCTCACCACTCTGCATCTCCTGCAGAAACAGGGCATGCAGAGCTACAGACCCAAATTTAAGACCAAGGAGCTTCGGCCTCCCGGGCTCACCCACAGGCACATTCTCAGGCAGGCCAAGCAGGAGAACAGGCCCCAAATGCTGGACACCAAAGTATTCTCGAGACCTCTCTTGCCGTCTGTCACTGTGAGCAGAGTCGCTATTCCAGTCTCCTCCTATACACTCCTCTGAGTTGTCATAATAGAATTCCCTGGAAACAAGCTGGCTTGGAAAGTCATTCATCGCTCTATTTCTCTGCCCCCCTCCATTTCCCTGGGCCCCTTTCTCTTTCTCTCTGTCTCTCTCTCCTCTCTGTGTGTCTCTCTCTCTCCCCACCCCATCTCATGATTTTAGATGAGAACCAGATGAATGGACCTCAGTGGATGGAGTTTGGTTTGTCCTCAGAGAACTATTTCCATGTTAACCATTTTTCTGCTGCACTTAGCTGTTGACACAGTGCAGCCTGGTGATGCTGGCCCCGGCCACCCACTGCCAGTGGGAGCTAGGTGGGTGGTGATGACCTCAGAAGCCCTCCAGGGTGGCCTTGCTGCCAGCCTCGAGCCTCCTGACAGGCCCTCTTTTTACCAAAATCCAACTGGTCTTATACTCTGGACAACTTCCGAACACATTCCTTTTTGATTTTCAGGACCAGGAAGCTGTCTGTCTGCTGCCTCATTTTGTCCTGCAGTGAGACTCTGAAACTTGGAAGTAATGGAAAAATTTAGCCTGTGGCCAAGCTTCCTGTTTTCCTTATCTTGAAGCCCTCATGCTGGTCCTCTTGTCTGGGAAGTTTTAACCACAATCCTATAAAATCCAGCCTAGAAAGTAAGCTGAGGAGCGGTGATTTGAAAAAGACAAGAAAAAAGGCAGTGCCGTTTTTTGTTAATAGTCTTTTCCTCGTGCCATCACCTTGTGCCTGATGTGGAGGAACGCCACGACCCCAGGCAATCCCTCTCGCATGGAGCTGTTCTTCCTTCCTTCCCCGGCTCCCTTAGACGCCTCTGGATACTCATCTTACCCTAATGTGCATTTCCTCACGTCGGATGTGAACTTGTCGTGAAGATCATCCCTGTGAACAACAGATCCTTATCCCATCCTATGCCATCCTCACTCTCTGCGCTCATTGTAGCCACTGTCGGCCCCTCTCACTGATGGTCTTTCCTACCTTTCGCTGACCCTCCACCTTTCCCAGCATGCCTTTTTCCAAGAGCTGGCCCCTCCTGAAAACATTCCACCGTTCTTGCATCCAGAGAGTATCCTGGTTGCATTTCCTCCAAGACAGATTAGTGGTGGTCCATGGGCTAGTCAGTACTCTTCAGCAACACAATTCACAGGTCTTGATTCTTCTTCAGTCTTCCTTATTCCTTGTCCAACCTCTGGATGCATATGAAGCAATTGCTAATACCATGGCTTGGGTAATTGCACCTTCGTCTTTATAAACTGACACCCTTGCTCTTTAGCACTTTAAAGAGATCCTTGACAGCAAATTTTCCTGGTACAACGTATCTGTTGAGTGCTTCACTGCTGCTTCCATGGGTGTTAACTGTGGGTCCAAGTAAAATGAACTCATTGGCAACTTCAGTCATTTCTCCATCTATCCTAAATCCTAATGTTGATGATTGGCCCAGTTTTGAAAATTTTTTTCCTTGATAATGAGTTGTAATTCATATTGAAAGCTTTATTGTTTGATCTTCTTCAATAAGTGCTTCAAAGCTTCTTCACTTTCTGTAGGTAAGGTGGTGTCATCTGCATAGCATAGGTGGTTGATGAGTTTTCCTCAAATCCAGATGTCATTCTTTTACATATAGTCTAGCATCTCAGATTACTTGCTTAGCATATAAATTTAATAAGTATGCAGAAAAGATACAAAACTGATGCACACTCTTCCTGATTTAAAACTATGTAGTATCCCTTCTATTCAAACAAGTGTATCTAGATTTAAGGGCAGGTTTCATACAAACATGATTAAGGGTTCTGGAATTCCCATTCTTTTCAGTGCTGTCCATAATTTATTATGATCTACAGTCAAATGTCTATGCATAGTTAAAAAAGCACAAGTGAATATTTTTCTCACATTCTCTTCTTTCTGTCAAGACCCAGCTGACAACAATGATGTCCTACAGCCTCTTCTGAATCCACCTTGAATTTTTGGCAGTTCCCCACATTTATATTGTTCTGGCCATTTTAAAAGAAGTAATATTCAGCAATACTTTACTTACCTGCTTATGTTATCAAGGATATTGTTTGACATTTTGGTGGGTTACCTCTTTTGTAATATTGTGATTTAGTGAAAATTTACAGAAAGATTGGGTTTTCATTCACTGATACACAATTTCCTCCTTCCCCGTCCCCCAGGTCACATAGCAATGTACTTCTTGTTAATTGTCCTACATATACTGCCTCATTTATTCCTTTCAAATAGCCCTTCTCTTCACCTGTTAAATTGCAGTGTTCATTAACTATCCATTCTTTTCTTGTCCCCTCCCAAATCCCATTTTTAGAACAGTGTAGTATTTGTCCTTTTGTAATGGAGATATTCACTCAATATAATGCCTTACAAGTTTATCATTTTTCAGTGCTGCATAATATTCCTTTGTGTGTGAATGCATCGTAGTTTCTTTATCCATTCTGTGGTTGAATGGCAAAAGGCCTTCCATAGCTTCACTGTTGTGAATAATGCTGAATTAAACGTGGATATGCAGACATCAGTTTATGTCACAGCTCTGGCTTCTTTAGATTCTATTCCCAATAGCGGTTGTTGTTTGTGCCATCAAGTCAGAGCCAACCTATAACTGACCCTCCAGTGGGTTTTCAGAGGCAGTTAATTGCACAGGAGCAGATTGCCCATCTTTCTTCTGTGAAGCAACTGGAGAATTTGAACTGCATACATTTGGGGTTCCCAGCACACTTCTTACAATTAGGCCACCAGAGCTCCCTGATAGTAGGATAACTGGGTCAAATTGTGTATGTGTTTCTAATGTTTTGAGGAAGTGCCGACTGCCTTCCATGGTGACTGTACCTTTTCACATTCCCCTCAGCAGTGTGTGAGAGTTCTACACTTTCCACAGTCTCACTGGCATTTATTGTTTGCTATCTTGTTGAACTTTACTATTGTTGCTAAGGTGAGATGATAATCTCATTGTTGTTTTGATTTGCATTTACCTAATAACTAGAGATTTTAAACATCTTTTCATGTGTTTATTACCATCTGACTTTTTTATTTGATGAAGTATCCATTCTTGTGCCCATTTTGTGATTATTTGCCTTTTTCTTGATTATTCTATACATTTTAAATTTGAGTCCCTTATCCGAGATGTCATTGCCAAAATATTTTCCCCAGTCTGTGGCTTCCTTTTTTATCCAGTTGGAGAAGTTTTGATGTGCATAAGGATTTGCCTTTTAGAAGGTCATCTGTTTCTTTTCCTAGTTGTAGGGTTTTCGTTATGCTTGGAAGTCTGTTCATGCTGTAGATTAGGGCTTCTAGAGTTGTTCCTACATTTCCCCTGATGGACTTATATATAGTCTTTGGTTTTACTCCTATGTCCCTGATCTACCTTTTGTATATGGTGTGAGGTCTTGATCCAGTTTTCTGCCGGTGGTTGTCCAGTTTTGTCAGCAACATTTACTATAGAGGCTGTCATTTCCCCACCTAACTGCTCTCAAGGAGGACCGTGTCTTCCAGCAATACACCAGTGCTCTGGTGCTGTCCGTAGGGTTTTCAAGGACCTGTTATTGCAGAAGTGGGTGGCCAGGGCTGCTACTTAGTCCAGAAGTTCTGCCGAAACCTGTCCACCATCGACGACCCTGCTAGTATTTGAAATACAGGCATAGCTTTCAGTATCACAGCAACACGCAGGTCATCACAATATAGAAGACTGACAAACCAGTGGTATACGTGACTGTCAACAAGTCCTGTTTGAATTACCTGAAATCAAAAGGTGGTTGCATTGGGGAAAATGGTGTCAGGAACCTTTCCAGAGTCCTAAAGAGTAATGATGTCAGCTTAAAGACGAAGGTGCACTTGTCCAAGCCCTGGTCCTCTCATGCTTGCTATGCATCTGGAAGTTGGACAATCACGAAAGATTACAGAAGAATCATCAGTGCCTTTTAGCTGTGGTGTCGACAACTATCTCATGGACTGCCGAGAGAACACACAGGTCTGTCTTGGAGAAATGAAACCAGAGTGCTCTTCAGAAGCAAGATGGTGACGCTTCCTTCGCCTCACATACTTGGGGCATGTTGTTAGGAGGGGTCAGTCGTTGGAAAAGGCCATCATGCTAAGAAAGAGAGGATGATGATGTGTTGACACAGGATGGCACAGGATGGGGGGTGCGGATCTCTTTTTCATGAGAGTTGCACTTGACTCCACTTAACAGCATTGTTACACACAGGGGATTGCTCTAATAACCCACAGGCCACAAGTTTCTGGGGCTTTGAACCCACCAGTGACTCTGTGGAGAATGAAGTCTCCTGCGTGGTGTATCGCCTTAGAAAGCTGCTGGAGACCAGTCACAGGCCAGTTCTGACTTGGTAGCAGTGAGCAAACAACTGTGTTCAGAGACACTCAGAGCAAGTGCAGTGTCACGTGACTAAACAGACTTAGCTGCTTTGTCTTGGTTTGACTTTGCTTGAGGTGGGGTGCACTTGCATCACCTTAAATGCCGGTGTGGATGGGACACACATCTGCATGTGTGAACATCTGCTGACTTAGGCTTTTTGTTTTTAAGGAACACCAGCAATCCTGGAATGACTACAGCCTAACAGCCAGCAGTTTGAGGTTCTGTGTGTCTAGTAGTTTTGAGGTATCTTTCCATTCTCCGAATGTGCCATGAGGAGGTGGAGTCCCAGGGTCCCCCTATTTCTGTGCTGAGGTGGAAGACTGCAGCCTGCTGGAAGGCAGTGAGATGCAGAAGCCCTGGGACAGAGGGACGATATTGATGGTGCCCACCGCAGTCTCTCCTGAGGAGCAAGCGGGATCTGGCAGGTGGCTCATCTCTGCGAGGCCTTGGCCAGCTCAGTAAGCAGCAGCAGAGTGGGGGCCTCAGCTGGGGAAGTGGCTGGGGGGGGAAGGACTTGGAACCATCGCCGCCCTTAGTGCTGTGGTTTAGGGCTGCTGGTCAGTAGGTTGAGGAGGACAGAGGACTGCGAAGACCAGGACCTAGCACCATAGGGGACACTGGTTTGTGGACTTC